GGCTTGCCTGCACTCACGCCGATTCCCAGCTCGGCCCTTCTCCTCTCCTCGGCTTCCTTTTCCGCAATTTTGCTTTTAAAGTTTCCCTTCTTCTTGGGCGCAGGCACATAAGGCGCCGGCACGGGTTTCTCGTCTTCCTCTTCCCAGTCATCCTAGCGGGTTTGCGGAAGAAATGGCTAGCGCGTCAGCCTCGATGCCGCTTGTATACGTACTTGAAGCGGACTTGCTTCACACACCTTGACCTCTTCCTCTACATCCTCATCGTCGAACTTGCCTCTCCTGGCAACCGGCGCAGCGGCGGGTTTGACGCTGGGCTTTGAAGCTGCCCCATCATCGGACGATGCGTCTGCGAGTTGGCGTCGAAAAGAAGGGGGTGGGGATGTGCGTCCGCTAAGCGCATACATTCGCATCACGCACGGCATCGCAATCGAGCCAAGCCTGGCCCTTTTTTGCACCCTGCGCCTCGCTGCTACTCACCCCAATCTGACATGTTGGTGGCGCGTGTTCTAGCCACGTGATATGTCTGGTGCGTTCCAGCGCTGGCTATGTTCGGTGATGAATACGGCCTTGACAGCGATGCTTCGAAGCTGAGTGATAACGGTGCAAGGACGATCGATGATGTTCTGTTGTGCGTGCGTGCGTTCATCATCAGCTCGGTCGGCGTGTATCGCCGCGCAGTTGCGAAGTTCGCGCGCGATCGTCTCGCACGATAGCGATGAAATCTTCAGTCACGTGCTGCAGACCCTTTCTCAACCGCACAGCTCCTCCACGCAAAACGTTCCCTACTTGGGCACTCCGATCAAGTCCACTCGACGGCCAGAGCGGACATGCTCTGTACATGACAGCGCCCACTCACACTGCTTGCAAGACAATGCATGCGATAACATTACAAAATTTGCACAAGCAGCCACATCGCGAAAGGGTGCTGCATGGGGACACGCCCTACAACTCGTCCTGCTTTCCAGCTGGACCGGATCTCGGTCCGAATGCGGCGTAGGGGGTCACCACGACATCCTTGACAGCCAAGACCCTCTGCCAGGCGTTTGCCAACCAAGCGACGCACAAAGCCCAGGATGCTTCGCATGCTTGTAGCGCTTTTTCGAACACGTTGAAGCCATCCCGCTGAATGTCTGCTTTGGTGTGATTGCCAGTTGCGGTCCAGCTCGAGCGAGGTGCCCGCGGGAACTGAGGCGCTTCTGATCCGAAGCTCGAAGATGGGGCATCGGAGGGCTCTTGAGGGACGTTCATGTGCCCAGTGCTCAGACCTTGGGCTTGCTCCGCCGGCGATTCGGCCCTTGAAGCTTGCTGGACCGAGTCGGCGCTCTTGTCCGCCGAAAGTTGGTCCTGATACATGTCTCTGAATGTCGCTACAGCTCGCAGCTACAAGCCGAGGCAAGTGTGTCAGCCAAAGCGCTGCTAAGCAGCCGCGCCCCACCACTTACGCTCTCTGCGAAGCGGTGTACAGTGTTGATCAGGGCGACGAGTTCGCTCCTGGCCAAAAGCTCGGGATTGCGTGCGGGACTGAATGCAAATGTTAGCAAAAGACGCTGCTCGGACACTGTGGGCGCTGCGCATCCCTACTAACTCGAAATCGCTGCGATCGTGGCCAAACAAGATCTTTAAAGCGGTGCCAATGCCATTGACCTGCAATTTACCCCACAACCTGCACTTGTCGCAGCCCACGCAATCCATGATTCTCGACACGTTCCTAAACCTCTCCTTGAACTCCACTTTGAGATCTTTGGCATCCGGTCCCGCAAACATTGTTCCCTCGTCAAAGCTCGGCGGACATGATCTGGCTTGCGAGACAACGCTGGACAGGAGTGTGCGCGTTTCGAGCTCGGCGATCGCGTCGCCCGGCCGCAGCACAAAGGCGTCGACGTAATCGCCTGCTCTGGCAAGAGCACGGAGCAGCAGGACGTAATTAAAGTATACGTTTTGCAGCCGTTCGGGATGTTGTGCGATGCGAGTGACGAAGCATTCCAGATTGGGCCCCCACTGCTTGTTGTCCAGCAAGTAGTCGTGGCACAGGTGAATGTTGATGCTGGCGTGCAGACCACTGATGATGCGATAAAAGACCCTCTTTTCTAGACACTGCTCTGACGCTCCTGCATCTGGTGGAGAAGCCAAATTACTCATCAAAGTGGGCAGCCCTGCAGAAGAGCTGAGCTGACTCTTGCTCACGTAGCCCAACGATGACGAGGGCAACAAGGCGGCTCCTGCCCCTGGGGCGCCAAAGCAATTCTCTTCGTAGATGGAGCGCCAAACGCGCTGGGCCGACTTTCCAGCATAGCCCGTAAACCTTTCGGGATTCTTGACGAGATCTACCCAAGATGCTTCTGGAGATTCTTCCTCATCTTCCCAGTGACAAAAGTCCGTCTCGCGGCAAGAGCAGCTGGCTTCACTGCGGAAGTCATCCTCGCCCTGCACCGCGGGTGGAAAGACCTCGGCGTGATCGGCAGTGGAGAGTGAGGACAGGTGAGACACTCTATACTGGTCTGGTACCTCGTCCTGAAGAGTGAGCTAGCTCGTCAGCGATTGAGTGCGCGCTGTGTTAAGGGAAGTGCAGCGTGCATGTGTGGCCCCTGCAGCGACACTCACCTCTTCCGCCTTTTCCACTGCGCAAGCTCTATTCATGCACAGACCATTCTCGTACCAAAATGGACAGTCTTTGAACAGATCCACCTTGTAATACCTAAAGTACCTCGTCTCCACCAAGCCTTGCAACGTCTGAAAGAATTTCGCAGTGTTCATCCGTCGCTCCACCGTCTCGTAGTCGCAGCACGCATCCTCGATCTGCCCTGTCGGTCTGCAGATCTCGTCTTCTGCCGCGATAGACTTGCCGCTCGTCTTTGCGGATGAGCTGGGATGCTGCACCTTGAGCATGCCTCCGCTCGGGCCGGCTAGAACGTCGTGCAACAGACCACCAGGCTGACCGCGATACGCTGGAGAATTGAAGAGCAGTGCCGCCGCTTTTGCGTTGCGCGAGTCCGACTGCCAGCCTCGCTGCTGCTGCTGCTGCTGCTGCTGGATAGCATGTGCGGCTGTATGCTCATCCTCTGCAGCCCATGCCCGACTTGCTATGCGCATGAGCAGCAGCAAACACAGCACCACCAGCAAGGGAGTCTTGGATCCCGATGGAGTCTGAAAAGCTTGTAGCGGGCCTAGACCATTCCTCTTGCGCTGCTGCGTAGGATGGCCCAGTTGGCGCTTGTATGCGGACGCCGTAGTGGCTGAGTTGGGGCTCGCCTGCGTACCAGCACTATCGGTGGCGGCCGCGGCTGCCGCTGCCGCTGCCGCCGAACGTCGACGCTGGGAAGGTGTTGGCCGCATTGTGGGAGACGTTTAATCGCGGCCGTGGGATGAGCGCCTATCACTACAAGGCTGACTGTGATCCACTGAGGGGCAAGTGAGGTGGCTGAGCGCGTATGACCATCTACCCGAGCCGGATACGTGGGGAGGGGGAGGAGGAGGAGGAGCGCACAGAAGCGGAAGCACACCAAATGGAGACCAGCTGCAGTAGATGGAGATGTGCGTTGTTGACAAGGTGAACGGTGGATCGTGAATGTTGAGCTGATAGAAGCGCGGCGGGTGCCTCTTGATGACTTGCAACTCACCACTCACTCACTCACGCGACTCTAAATCCGCGATCGGACGTGGACGTGGATGCGCACCTGATCGGTGAAGCCCAACGCCACACATCGCACCTTGCACGATCGAGCCAAAACGCCGCGGACGTCGGCTTCGTAACTCCGTCATTAAGATTGCTGCTGCAGCAGCTATTCGTGATGATTGAGGCGTGCTGCCTGCCTGCCGCCTTGATTCCATACGCGTGCAGCATCGCGGTATGGGCGCGTGCGCATCGAGGCACGCATATCCTTGATTCAGCCCGCGCACATGCATGCATACATGCATGCAGGCCCTCCTTCTCTTGGTCTGATCACGTGACCCACTAAGGTTATTTCTTACCTGCTGATGTCTCATGGCGGACAAACGCGTTGGCCTGCTGCACGCACGCACGCACGCACGCACGCACGCACGGCAGCGCGCGACGCGTTGCTTGCTCCATTGTGATTGCCATGCTGCAGCTGATGCTTTTGCGCTCGCATCTCCAGAGACACAATAAACAGACGCGTGGATGGGTGGTGAGTGCGCGTTTCAATTGCGATCACGCCTGCGATCCAGTCGCCATTTCGCTCAAACGACTCACATTCACATTCACACTCACAGGCGCTCTCCCGCTCCAAGGCGACCGAAAAAGGTCCTCGAGCTCGTACTGCGCAGCGCGCCCTCGCACCCGCCCGAGCGCATACGTGTCCAGCCCATCTCGACACGCACACAGCGCACCACACCACACCACACCACACCACACCACAGCACGACGGATCAGCAGGATGCCAGCACGCGGGGCACGCATGTTTCACGAGGCAGGAGTGGGATCTCGCACGGGCATGAGGGCACCCTCCATGGGAGGAGCAGCAGGAGTCGATGACTTGTCGGCGTACTTGGCGGCAGGTCAGCGAGCCCTCGATGAGGATGATGAGGATGATGAGGATGATGATGCCGAGGACTGGGCGCAGAGCGGCGAGGAGAGCTTGCAGGTGGAGAGCGAGGATGAGAGCAGAGCATCGCTACGAAAGAGGAAAAGAGGCGATCGCGCAGCGGCAAGCAGCAGCAGCAGCAGGATGGACATCGAACAGAGTGAGTGCAAGCGATGCAGAAGCGCATACATGCGTGTGCCTGAAGCTGTGCCAGCTCACACAGCGCGCCCCACATGCACACGCTGCGCCCCTCCCAACCCACCCGCAAAGGCTCGCCTCCATCACCGCGTAGAGCGATACACAGAACCAGCGCATACACTCGGTCTGCCGACGAGGACTCCGATGCAGGATCCGTGGTCGATCATGAAGACTTGGGCCCTTCGCGCAGGCGCGTCACGAAATTGCCAGACGAAGATTACGATGTTGAAGTGGATTTCGGCACTGGCAACTCTTTTGATCTGAGCGGCAATGGTGCGCGCGATATGGACAATGTCTATTCGGATGAGGAGGATCTGCTCCAGCAACCAAGGGCTGCCGCTGGCGGCTCGAGCAAGAGCAGGGACGACGGCAAAAAGACGTCTGCGCCTACTGCAGGATTGGCAGCGAGAAGGAAGGCTGCAGCGGCTCGATCTGCCCGTTTGGGAGATTATAGCCAGGAGGAAGAGGATGATGTGCGAACTATGCTCAATGGCGCTGCTGAGGATGACGCTCCAATGCCTTCACCTTCGCCTCCGCTCACGCGAGCTCCTGCAAAACCAAAGGCAGCAGCAAAGAAAATTGCAGCGTCAGCCACTGCTCCTTCCAAGAAACGCGGTCGCCCTCCAAAGACACCCTCCGCCTCGCAAAGTGCCACGAGCCGAGCAAATGCGAAGAGCAAAGCGGCTAGCATGGACGTTTCGCAACAGCAGCAGCGCGTGGTGGAGCAAGTGTCTGCAGGCGATCGCGAGCGTTCTGCCTCGGTCGAAGGGGGCTTGCGACGGAGCGGCAGGTACAGATATGCGCCACTGGAGCACTGGCGAGGAGAGACGGTGCGCTATGGTCGACCCAGCTTGCCCGCAGTTCAGGAAGAGGAGAGCGAGGAGGAAGAGGGTGCAAGACGCGTGGCAAGAGGAGCTGCGGTTCCTGTACTCAAAGAGATCATCCGCGTGCCTAGAGCTCAAGGAGAGGGCACATTCAGCGGCATGAGAAAAAAGAGGGTGGTGAAAAGGGCCAGAAAGCCGATGGGCAATGGCGCAACCAGGACGCCGAGCGTGACAAAGAATGAAGAGGGGGTCGAGGTGATTACGGAGTACGCTGGCCCGGCCGCGAATGAGCCTACACAGAACTTTGAGGACGGATGGGATGACGAGACGTCGCCCAATGCGCTCGTATGGGACGCAGCTGCTGGAATGGAAGTGGAAAGACGTGAGTTGCGTGGCGCGCGCGGGTGCAACGCGGGCGGCAGACCTTTTGCACTGACACTTGAAGCGCGCGCGCGCGCGCGTACCATCAGGCGTCGTCTGCACACGCAAGCAAGTCAGGCCACGTCCCGCAGCCAATGCTTCCTTTGGGTTCGAAAAGATTTTTACGCTCGAAGATCACATGGCTTCTGGCATGCTAGAGATCGAGATCGGGGGAGACAAGCCGTACAAACCTTCAAAGGACAACAATTACGTCTTTGTGGTCCTCGAGGGCGCTGTAGACGTGACGATCCATCGCACGGATTTCAGACTGGCGCCGGGTGGTATTTTTATGGTTCCAAAGGGTGAGTCCTCTATCTCCCGTGCATGTCGTCCCTCAACAGCCACGCTGAACCTCGGCCTTTGACGCAACAGACAACTCGTACAGCATCCGAAACATCTGTCATCGGCCTGTACGAGTGTTTTTTGCTCAAGCCCGCAAGCCTGTAGATCCCAACGCCTCCAACCTCTACACTCAGGCTGGGACCGGAGGCGAACAATCTTTTGGAAACATGACATATTCCCAACCTCCACTTCAAGATGCACATCTATACACTTCAGATCCCTTCCTGGCCCCATCCTCCTCCCGCGACACCTCCAGCAGATACGCGAGAAGGTGAGGGAAAAACCACAGGACAAATGTAAAGTATGACACAAGACATCACAATTGCAACAATTACCAGCGAGCGGGGCAAATTGCCACCTTCGAGCGCTCTTGGTCCTGATTGATCACCTTAGCTTGTACAGCGTGTCGATGAATCTGGACGCCATTTCAGTCACCAGTCCAGGTCCAATGGCGCTACTGGCGCCAAGTCCGTAGAGCACGGCCATGGAGCCAGGCTGTGCTGATCGCGTTCTCGCTTCCTTTACGGATGCCTTGAGGTCGCTGATAAAGTCGTCGACTACGGGAACCGTCAGACGCGTGCAGGCAATGTGCACAGCGGGTGGGTCTGTCGCCAAACCATTGAGATGCCACCTGATCGCGACACGAAGCGATGACCTCGACTGTGTCAGCAGGGCAGCGCATCCAAGCACGAAGCAGCGCCCGAACACTCACCCCTTTTTGCTCATATTGTCTCCCACTTCGTAGATGTTGACTTTACCCGCGCTAGCAAACGCAACCACCGAGACGATCGGGTTGCCCATGACCACCAGCTGCGGAATCTCGTCCCGGATAGCTTGCTCTATGCGGCGTGCGGCACCGACGATGGAGGCGCACGAAGCAGTGTAACCGTCGTCGCCCATGGTCATCAGCGCTGCCCAAGTGCCTGCGATCAGCGCACCAGGTCTGGAGCCGGCGATGGAAGGAGAAGCATATACACCGCCTGATATGGCAAGAGGTGGGGATTTGACGCGATCAGCGAGGCCAACGTGCGCCACGCCCGTCGAGTTGGCTCACCTGTCCAATCGGGCTGCACGTAGTATTGAAAGCGACGCAGCTCGCTTGTACGGTACATGATGACCGACGAGCCCTGGCAACGCAAAGCACTGCTCAGCTCCTCGTCACTAGATCGCTCGCCTGCTGCTCGTCTCACCTTTGGTGCAAAGCCGTACTTGTGAGTGTCGCACGAGATCGACGTGACGCCATCGACGCGAAAGTCGAAGGGTTGAGATGGAAGACCGGCAGGCTCAAGGTAAGGGACAAGGAAGCTGCCCAGGCAACAGTCGACATGACATAGGATACTGGAGCGCCTAGCAAGAGCAGCCAAACCAGGAATGTCGTCGATGATACCTTCTCCAAAACTGGGCGCGCTGCCGACGAGCAAGACGGTATTGCCGTTGATGGCCCTCTTTACCTGCTCCAGCTTGATTTGGCGCGTCACCCTGTCCACCTCTACGGTTACAATCTTGATCTTGAAATAAGCGGCCGCTTTGTGGAAAGCTGCGTGAGCTGATGAGGAGACGATGATCTCTGGCCTCGTAATGTGCTTCTTGACTCGACCCCAATCGCGAGCTGCCTTGACTGCCATGATGATCGATTCTGTGCCTCCGCTCGTCGTGGTACCGGCACCGCTATCAGGCGCGTTGAAGAGCCTCAGCACCATCGACACCACCTCTGCCTCCATTCGTCTTACGCCAGGAAAGACGTCTGGATGCAGCTGCGAGCAAGCCGTGCGCGATCGATCGCATACTCACGGGTGTGAGCAACGTGGGACCCCGCGTGGCTGCATACATGCGGCTGCCTGCCTGCCTGCCTGCCGGCCATACTCACCGGATTCGTCAGGACAAACTTGGAAATGGCGGTGGAGATCACTTCGCTCATCTCGTCGCCGCCATGGTATACGGCACCGCTAATCTTGCCTCCCTTCCACACACGCTGTCCATCTGCTCGCTCGACTGCCCTTTGTCCTTCATCGCCATGCTGCAAAGGGGCCAGCTCCAAGTTCTGCAGCTCTTGCAGCGCCTGAAGCAACCACTCTCTGCTCTTTCCACGCGTCGGCAGCGACTCGTTGGTGTGGGTGACATTGAGACCGGCGGGAGGTTTGGCGATGAGCTTGTCCTCGATGCCCTTGGTGGCGCTGTCCAGCTCCCTGTTCACCCTGCGCTTCAATGCGGGGATCTTGAGCGTGAGGCTCAAGAGCAAGCGCGAAATGGAAGTGTACAGCTGATAGATGGTAGGCGTCACACCGTACGCTCGAAGATGACGCCATGCACGCAGCAGGTAGGTGTGGACGACGTAGAGAAAGACTGCGTGACGTAGCGTGTTGATGGTCAGACCTTGGGAGATGAGCTCTGGCAGGATGGAGGTCCTTGCCGGCGAGACGCTCCCTGGCGCGCCTCCTGCTGCAGCGCTCGTCGGCTTGCTTGCTCCAGCCATGTTTGTCCAGTGCAGGCCTACGAGATATTGCCAACCTTGCATGCAGCGGCAATGCCGATCAGAGCTCGAGCGGTGCTGGAGTCCGAGTCCGAGTCCGAAGTTGGAGTTGTTGTCGCTCGAGATGGAAGCAGCTAGCTAGCTGTCATCAGATCAGCACGCGCAAGAGCTCTCGGATCGCGGATCGCGGGTCCGCCTCCTAGCCGGCGCATCCTCGCGGGCACGGCTTAGCGACCGGACCCCGCAGGCGAGACGCAGCTCGCAGAAATGGTCCCCGCAGAGCTTCCGAGGTGACGATCACGTGTCTTGATTTCTGCGGGCTGGCTCACGACATGCCAAACCTCGCGCCCTCCTGGTGAGCAGCGATTTAGAGATCACCTACATCTTCTAGCTATGATCCTTCCTTTCCACACATGAAATTGTTTGAATCAGATGAACTGTTGAGCGAGTAGCAGACTGAAAAGGCCGCTCGACATGAAGCTCAGCCATCTCATAACGAATCGCGCGAGTGAGACAAGGGGTCGCGAGTCTGGAAAGAGCTCTCTCTCTCTCTCTCTCTCTCTCTCTCTCTCTCTCTCTCTCTCTCTTAT